GAAAATGAAATAGAATACATGTGAAGGATTCCACACTCTAACGTGATCGGTTCTATTATGTACTCGATGGTCTGTACCATATCAGATTTAACCTTTGCAGTTAGTACTCTTAGTAGGTACATGTCTAATCTAGGTCCCGAGCATTGGGAAGCCTTAAAATTGATGCTAAGTTATTTAAAGAGAACTAGTAATGTAAGTCTAAAGTCTGGGACTAATAAAGTGTGAAATTAAAAGATTTTGTGGATGCGAACTATGCGGGGATAGAGATAATAGAAAATCGACTTCTTCCTACGTGTTCACTTTGTCTAACTCTTGTGTTAGTTGGAAATCATAGTTACAATACATAGTTGCACTATCCACGATCAAATTAGAATATATTGCCACCATTAAAGCAATTAAAGAAGCTTTGTAGCTTAGAGGTTTGCTTCATGAACTTCGTGTTCTGATCATGTGGTAGTAGACTCACATAGTCAATCTTCCATACATCTATGGAAAAATCCTATCTTTCACAAACACATTGATGCTAGACTACACTTTAATAGAGATATGTTGTCACAAGAAGTTGTAATACTTGAAAAGATACATATACAATACAATCCTTCAGACATTGGCACTAAGGTGCTGTCATTGGTGAAGTTTAAAAGTTGCATGGACTTTCTAAATATTGGTATAGGTAACTAATTTCCAATTTTATCGGTTCCCAAATTGGAAGTATTACTAAATAGGTGATCATGTTTTCTTTGTATGTCTTTTGACACTATAGTGGAGGTTTGTTAGACAAATTATTATCAAACGACCTTCTCGGGTTATGATATAATTCAGTATATTTTTTCAGGCAGCACCAACTGAATGACAAATCGACACTTAAGTGAAAATGACCCAATCCAAAAGCTGTTTAGACCATTTGAAGTAGCCTAATTTAATTAGTGCTACTCATGGCCCATTCCCACTTCTTTGGATGGCTTATAGATGGAAACCTACTTAGCAGTCCTCTTAGCACCCTTATTGGGCTTGACCCATTACTGTGCCCTAATCCTACTTATCTATTGTGGGCATCTTTCTAAGTTCACACACAGACACTCTCTACCTTTGTGCGAAATCCAATGGTTCTCCCTTTATGCTCTCTGTCGTCTGTAGTCCTTCACCTTACTGCCTTTGTAGCTATTCTTATACCATGATTATACCTCCATCATGTGCATCCTAAGTGGGTAAATGAGGAGCAACCATAAGTGTGATATAGTTGAGAGGTTTGGTTCGTTTTCGTTTGAGGTGTCGATTGATAGGAGAAACTGAGCTCAGAAAAGCCTTGGTGATCATGTATTCTGCACAACACTTTCAATTTTGTGACTGCAAAAACTTCAAATATTGGTCAAAAGACATGAGGACTCATAAAAGGAGTAATGGCTTTAGTTTCACAAAAGGTACAGGCGAAGAATGATAACTGTGGGAAATGGTAGGAACTTGTTTACATTTCATTTCAAGGCCGGTCTTGGGCACTGGCAAATGAGGCCTGTGCCTCAGGCCCCAAAACCCTAAGGGGCCTATTCTGGCCCTTTTTTTTTTTTTTTTTACATTAAAAGAAGGAAAAGGAAAATAGTTTTTTCATTAATTGTGAGATTATTGAGATATTTGTTTGTTGTTTTAATGTTGAGTTTTAAGTTAGCAATATGTTGCATAACACACCGTTGAATTTTGCATTTACGTTGATTTTGAAGGCCTAATTTTTGAATTTCGCTTAGGGCCCCGACAATCACAGGACCGACCCTGTTTCGTTTACATTTTCTTCCTTTGTGTAATATACATTTGAACCGTGTTTTAATATTTCTACGGGTTTTTTAATGATGATTTGAGCTCAAAACAGAGTTCAAGGAAGTCATCTGTGTTGGAAAGTACATTAGGAAGAGATTTCCTTCCTCGCAGCTCTGGTTAGCCGCGATCTTTAATATGATAGACTTTGAAGTAATATTTAATTAATGCAGGTCATTTTTCGTTTGTTTTATTTTTTAAATAATCAGTTTGAAAGATAATTTTTGTTTGGATCTCATTTGAAGTTTTTTTTTTATTCATTTGTACTCTTTGGATGCTTCATAACCGTATTTTATAGGAAATTTTTTATAGAAGTTTACCTTGTCAAATGAAGTTACGTTTGCTGACATCATCCAATGTACATCTCAATCTTAAATCCTGAACATTCAACATACTAACATTACCTTAAAAACAACATAGTCCGTACATTGCACGAGCAAAATACTAATATTTGTAAAATCGCTATCGACATTCATATGTGGGCACGAGATGACTAACTTCATGAAGGCAAAACCAGGGTAATAAAACTAATGGCTTTACATTTGGGCTTATTTGGTAGCATTTTTAAGCTCGCGTCTTATAAAACATGTGAATAATACATAAATAATAAGCGGTAAATCTTACGAAATGTATAGTTTTAAGTGGGGATGGACAAAAAAAATCGAAAAATCAATCAAATCATCCAAACCACACCAGTTTGGGTCGGTTTGAAATAAAAAATTGGTTTAGTTTGATTAATTATAACTATTTAAAAGTCAGGTCAGGTTAGTTGTGGTTTAAAGCAACCAACTCAGTTTCAATTTCAAGTTAACCTCAAAACCAACACAACCTGAACCATGTTTAAGCCTGGCAATTTCATGTATTTTTTACTAGTTTAAATTATTATATGAACAATGGTATATCAGACAAATGAGGGTCATTCGACATGGTTTTGGATACTTTCATCATTGAGAATTAATAATGCAACTATATTGAAAGATTTAGGATTAAATTTCAAGTCAGATGATAGCTAATCATTCAAAAATGTTGCTTTCCTAAGAATCATTGAAACACAATCACCAGCATTAATTAAAAGATATTTATAGTGACGAGGAGTGCAAGTAGGAAATTTTTAATTGCATCCTCTGATATGTGACAAGGGGTCGACAAAAAAACAAGATTATTTAATTTTTTTGCTTGATTTATAATTATGTTTCCTACATGATATAAATACTAGACCACGTGAATTGTCGTCTATGGAGTTTAATGTTATTTGAAATGAAATTTGATAATGAAAAACTAGCAATTTGCAATCCTCTCGTGGTCATGTCTCGAACAATGAGGAAAATCATTGATTCAGGGACTAAACTTTGTTGGATTGTAGGTGACCTCCGAATTTCATCTTGTTATATTAATAAAAAAATGTGTATCATCAAAGATTTGAACAGTCAAGTCGATCGCTTTGTTGAAATTTTTCGAAAAAAATGTTTTTTTTCCTTTATTTAATGCGCTTCATGAAAAAATATTATTTCATTTATTATTCACATTTTTATTGAAAAATATTGTTTCATTTATTCTACGCATTTTTTTATACTATTTCCATTATTAAAAATATTGCTAATGTTTTGATATGTCTCCTATAATATAATAATTGTATAAGCAAAGTTATTATCTTTATTTTCTCCATTGTAGTCAATTGAATAAAATATCGCCACTCTCTCAATTAATTATTTTCCTTTTATCTTATTGTTTATTTGCGATTACATACTTCATATCGTGTTATATGTATTATCTCGATCTGTTTTATTTTCACACACACTTTTCAACTTTATCACAAACTATGCACATGCTTCATGTATGCGAACGAGCTATTCAACGGTGATAAGGATTAAAAGGATTTAAATTGATGAACTCCTAAAGATTTAATTGATATCAATATGCTCTTGTTTGAGCTCAATTTTTTCAAATTATAATGGGGGAATACTAATTTTTTAAAGAATGTGTAGTTAAAAAAGAAAGAAAAAAATTTATATTTACATGTAATATTATTTTATTGAAAAATATATGATTGATAAGAAAAGACAGAAACATAAATTTTAATTTAACGAGGGCAAAAAGAGGCTATATGACTGCAAGCACTTGTGAGATCTAACAACCCACCCCACAAAATAATAATAATAATAATAAAATAAAAATAAAAATAAAAATTGAGTACATGATTGCAAATAAGGTCAAAAGTTGGGAACTATTTCTTTAATTCCCTTGAAAAAAAATTGTAAATCATACAAAAAATTCATGTTAATTTAAGTGGTCAACATTTCTTCTTACCGGCATTCAGTTTTCTATTATATTTCATTTTGAATTATTGCCAGTGTTTGTACATAATTAGATGTTTCATTAAGCAACATATGGCGTTATTAAGGAAACATGGTGACAAGAAGATTGTCGGTGTCACAATGCAAATAATTTCAAGATTATAAATTGCTTCAAGAGTCAACACGTAAATACAGATAAACAGGACACATCTCTATAGACAATTATGAACCCGACAGGAAGAGAAAGGGACTGCTATCTCCTTTAAACTACTTTCTCAAGAAAATAAAGCATCTTAAGCATAATGCAAGTCTCCATACAATATACTCAAGAATGACTCCATTTCGTCCCCCGGGACATAGTCCAGTGATGCAAAAGAACAGGAGTAAAATTATCTCACTCCTTGCTAACAGCCAGTGTGGAAATTCAACTCCTGAGTCATGAAATTGAACTTCTTATAAACGCATTGTATAGACAGTTTATCTGGCCTGTTGGAGCACATCTCGTGATTTAACTCCCTCACAAAGCTCTAGAAGCTCTATAGACGAGGCAGTGGAGACCCTCAAGGTTGAGGTTCAACCTTCTTTTAAGAATGACTCCATTTCGTATAGAATTAGTTAAAATAGTAAGATTTAGATAAGGTTTTTAGGCAACAAATGCAGAGACAAGAACTAGGACAAACTGCTCAAGATTACAGCAAACTCGAACCAGGATAACCTCCAACATAAATAAATAGTATCCAATCCCCGCAATGTATATAACTGAGATAATCCATAAAAATCTCACAAGCTGAACAATCAAAAATACAGAAAGAGCTCGTATGTTTAAAGAACAAAGGGTTTGTCTTCTAATTTCCAATCCCACCCAGAATTCAAATTATGCCTTATGATCACGAGGAAGAGGGAGGGAGGGAGAGCAATCATGTTACCGCATTCAAACATTCACAAGGTACTAGTCGTGGATCAGCATCTTACATCAGGAAACAAATATGAACTACAAAACACACACAGTCGATAGACATTAAACAAATCAACAGATTCTTACTCTATGGCTATACAATCCCAAAGCACTTTAGGAAAACATGTAAAGGATGCAAATAATTTGAAACAACTATGATTTTTCCAACTTCACTTTCAGCTTTTACAGCATACTCTTCACAAGAACCAAATAAAACTGCAGCTAACACGGTTACACACTGCCGTACTCATCTCCTCCATCCAGGCTGAAGACCCTTATCTGAAATGTGATGTATCCAAATAAAAACTCGTTTAGAAAATGCACAAATTTAGAAAAATCAAAACCAATAAGTAAGATGAAAATAGAATAAAATGGAGCACTTATCCAAAATCAAATAAAATCAAAGAAGAGAGTTCTAAAATTTCCATTTGCTACCATACTAGGGACACGTGGAGCCAAAACTAAGAAAATCAGAACAATCCAGTTTCAAACTGGAAATGTTTTTCAAAGAGTTTCATCTTGATGTTCCTCCACCCATACATACAAGCTATAAATAGATATGCAGAGACCTTTCTAATACTGTGTGAGAGAAAATTAACAAAGTAGACAGATAAGATTTGATCCATTAACAAAAATGTAATGGAAAATTGGAAAATAAGCACACAACTAACAGAATTCTTCTACTTACCATCTCTAGAGGACATCAAGGATTTGTTATTTTTGCTTCCACCCTTATCATTACCTTGAACTGGCCTCTGCACCCGAGGTGACAACGAATTCAATTTGCCATTAGCTGAGGCTGGTAGAGAATGACGGCGGACAGAACCATTTTCAGACCCATCATCACTAAACTTTGAAGCTCCTTGCGCTCTAAGCTTCGCTTTTGCAGACTCAGTTGCTTGCATATAACTTGGCAAGCTTGAGGTGTTCTGCGAGACATTCTCAGGAAACTCATGCTTTGTTGGAAGAGATCTCCTCCTGATTTTTTTATTCCCCTTGCCAGTCTGATCTTCTTTACACCCCAACTCATCATTGATAGTTGGATTTGTCTCCATCTCCACACCATTTTCCGGCGAATGTGGCTGGACAGCAGGATAATCAGATTGTGGCACATTATCTGTAATTGGCGAAGGAGCTTCTGGCAATGCCAGTTCATCAACTACAGCATTTGAACAAAAAGCAATTTCAGAAGATTTTACGATCTCTTGTTCAGAAATATCAGGAGCTACAGAAGTTGACACTTTTTTCAGACTCGGGTTTGACTTGTCAGTTTCGGTTTCTAACTTTTCAGAAGTCAGTTCTACAGAAGCAGAAACCTTTCTTAAATTGTGTTTGACCCTCTCAAGTTCATTTTGTGGTTGTTCCAGCACTATTTCTGTTGGATGAGTCACGACTTTCTTTGGGTTGCGTTTGGGCTTATCTAAATGAGTGGATGCTAAAGTGCTGTTGTCCCCACTGTCTGCAGTTGAAACCTTTCTGACAGTTCTTTTTGATTTTCCCACTTTGGTCTCAGCAGCAAGTGGACCAGCATGTTTTCGTTGAGATTTCACGTTAACAATTTTCTTTGCTCGAGCAGGTGGTTGCCAAAAGTGAGACCGTGACCAACGTTCAAGCCAGTTCCAAGATGAATTTGGTTCAGCCAGATCATATTGAAGGCTCAGAGGCATAGCAGTTGGCAGCGAGGCAAGAAGCTAGAAAAGGCAAGAAGAATGTCATAAGTTAAGTAGTATGCAGAGTAACAGATCTGATGGGAAAATAAACAACTTCAACACATCTCTTCTTTTAACATTAGACAACATTTTCAAATTTGTCTTGTTTTGATGTAAGATTTCAGTTAAAGCAGAGCATATGAAATGTCTCAAAAAGAAATCACAACATTGAAACATTAAACAATGAGTAAATCTTCACCTTTCCTAAACAGGAAGAGGAGGAAAACAAAATAAATTGAAGAGACATATTTCGAGCACGTCAAGGTATAAAAGGAAAATGAATTGCACCTTCAAGGCAAAAGTATTCGTTGTAAGGTTCTCTGAGCCATGAGATGAGATTACTCCAAATGTGCCCACCCGTTTAGCATCCTGGTGAAGTATAAAATTGCATCCACAGTTATTTAGTAGCAAAAAGTAACATTCAAAATTTAATACTCCCAAAGTATAAATAACATAAATTAAATAGCCATGGGAGAAGAAATTTAAATGCCAACGGATGATGAGCCTCTCTGCATCACATTTCAAAAATAGGCTCCTGCTTAGCATATATATATGGATTTGAGTGTTGCTAACATCAGCTCACAATACAAAGCACTGATACAAACCATTATGGATCTAACTAAAACAACTGTTTTAACAGCTAACAAGTATTAGAAAAATTGTAGCACAAGGTAAGAAAAGCAAACAAGAAGGTTCTTTTCTGGTAAGTATATTATTAAAGAGAAATAGAATAATTTACTCATTTCCACTGTACAGCTACGTCCCGCAAATATGTTTTCTTTCAGGATCAAAAAGCAAATGAAAAGGGCAAGACAGGTTGCATGATCAGGTTATTCATCTCGAAGGTACCTGAATTTCTCCCAAATCATACTTTATAAGCACTCCTGGCATAGGACATGAGAGTCTGACAATACGTCCACGAGCCAGAGCCTGGAACTTAACAATTGCATGCATGCAACGGAAAGTAGCAACTGCCTGCCTCCTTACCAAGTGTCCACGTATAAGGGCCTGTAGCCTTATGATACCCTTCAGAGCTCGAAATGCACGACGAGCCTGTGGAGATGGTTACAGTAGAATCAAAACAATACCGCACAAAAAAATTGTCAATTATAATGAAACCATATTGTTTTTTATGCTCATTTAACAATGCAGAAAAATCAAAATGAACGAGGTAATCTAGCAATAAATTGTCATGCATACTGTCAAAAGAAAGAGAAAAAAATCACTACAAATTCATAGAGAACCTCTCTTAAGATAAAAGCAACTGTGGACTTATTTATAAACCAATTATCACAAATTTTTTAGATAAAAGATATGAAAACAAAGAAAATGCAGGTTGTTGAAATTTGAAAGATAACAGCCAGTTCCATGCTTGACATGACCAATGTAAAATTAAAAATGGCCCAGTTAATAAACATCTATGTCACATTCTTCCACAATTAGGTTGAAAAATTTACATCAGCTACATGAGATGAAGTTCGAGTTAATTTGCAAGAGCATATTACCAAGTATCCCCTAAAGGCAGCTTGTGCTTTTGTGGCAGCTTCCTCTTGCCTTCTTAACTCAGCAGTATCAATTGAATTGAGATCCAACGTACTTTGTGTATCCACACCTTGATTCGCAGTTAAAAAATCAGCATCATCACATGGAGCGCCTGCAGTTGTGCCCTTCTCAAATTCCACATTATTTCGACCTCTATCAGTAACCTGATTTGGCAAATCCAAGCTCGCCAGGGAATTTGCAGACAGATCTTCCACTGGCATCTTGGCAGCAGCCTTTTTCTCAATTGTAATATTCTTCAGATGCAGTTATAGTTTTAAATCAGCTTAATATTATTGTTGTATATCAAAAATTTATAGGAAACAAAACGCATTAATAACTTAGTCAAAAGTTTTCTCACTTTCAATATATTGGACTTAGATGACTTCTTTCCAAAAAGAACAGTTTTGATCCATTTTCCAGGAGACTTCCCCATTGCTGGCAGGCTGCTGTAAGAAACAATGCCGATCAAGTCTGGCATTATTTCCAATTAAAATAAGCCTGAATATGCAATTGTAGAGGATGCATATGTACAACTATAGAATATACAAGGAAATACTGACATACACAATAAAAGTGTGAAAGTAAATTCGTTGCTTGAAAATTTTCTGCTCGCAATATTGAGAAGGGGAGTAAAAACTAAAAAAAAAAAAAAAAAAAAGTTGAATGAAATTCATAAGTAACATCTAACAAATTACGGAGTCTATGTAGTTACCTTCTCCGATTCATCTTAAAATTAGCCAGATCTATAATAATACACATAAACTTTACCTTAAATGAATTATATGTGATACATAGTAACGTTACATTAATATCAAAACTTCATTAATGTTCAAAGAAATCATTAGACAGAATTAAATATAAAATAACTACCAAAAAGGATATTAAGAAAAAAGAGATTGCCAAAAAACAGCTTACACGAGAAGAAAATTAAAATTATGAGCCAAACTTCAAATAACTAAAAAAATTGAACACAACAAATTCAACTAACAGTAATGTTTATTCATCTTTAAAAAGCCCTAAAAAATAGATTAATACCCAGTAATGGAAAGAATTAATCAGCAAAAATGGAAAAGGAATATCTGAATCAAAACCCATAAGAAAGAGTAGAACCCAATAAATATATATACATACATGCAAAATCACAGAAACACAAAAAAATTAAAAAATTGAAGTGTGTTTGAGGGCAATGCGGTTCAGATCTGGCATTCCGATAATTTGTAAAATAAAGGGTTCCCTTCAAGCTAAGATCCGACAGGCCATTTCCAGAACATTCACAAAGTTCACAGAGAGAGATCCAGCTCTAGAAAGGTAAAATCCACCCAAAAAATTAAAATAAAATAAAATAAAGGTTACAAATAGGAAACTTGAGGTGAAAGATTAATTGAAAAGGAAGAAAAAACACAAACAAAGGAGAAATTTTAATCTAAAATCCCATACCGAGCACTCAAGGTAAGAGAGAAATCGACCCGTCCTTGCTCAGTCACCCCAGCACTCTTCACTATTTTTTGTGCACTATTGGGGTTGGTGGTGAAGTGGTAGGGGGTTTAGAATGGAGCAATGCATCAGATGCCTTTTGGATAATTTGCACTTATGGTCCCTAATGATTAAGTTTCTGTGAATTCAGGATCTATCTTTTCAACATTGGCAAATATTTCCTAAACTAACTTTTCCTTTGCAAGAGTGGTCCTACTCACATAGCTGACCAAATTGGTCGTTAAAGGCTTGCGCGCATTTCATACTCCAAATTGTAGAAGGGCATAAAATTGTTAATTCCTTTACTAGCATTTGTTGTGCAGGAATATTTTTCACTGTCCTTTAGTACAACCTATTTTCCCTCGTTTGACTCCCACTTTTTTTCATTTTTTTCTTCTCTCCTATTTTCAATTACACAATTTAAATTAAAAAAATTTTGTTCTTTTTCAACTATACATTCTTCCAAAAAAACACTATTCCAAATATTAAAATTTCAACAAATAATGAGGACCAAACGGGGGCTAAATGTGTTGCTCGTATTTTCTTGTATTTCTAACCAAAGAAATTCCCTTGTGAAGCAAGCTATTTTCTTCCAATCAATCATCTATTATGTGAATTCGGCTGATAATTGTGCTATAGGCATTATGGACAGATACGAATTTAGGTCGAAGGTTTATTCCATGCCAAAGACAATGGGTAATTTCTTTATTTTGTGTGAAAATTCTCCTCATCGCTATTTTTTTGTTAATAACCCATTATGTGATTTCTGCTTAGGAAATCAATGGATGCGGATTTATCAATTGCTGCAACCCAAACCATTTTCCCTGAGTCTAAAGAAATAACCTTAGGCTTGCTTAGGTCAAAGAGAAAAAAGAAAGACTACGTGTAGGTCTATAAAAGCAAATGTGATCTAAATGAAAAATGTGAATGTTTAAATTTGTTTATGTTGTTGTCGTAATGAAGATGTTTCAAATGTTTTACTAAAATTTGTTTTTAATGTGTTGTATTTGTATGTAGGAATTGATAATGTGTCTTGCGTAATTTAGGGCTTGTTTTTGTATTTTAGGCTAAATGAAGTTTCAATTTTCGATGTTAGGTTGTAAACTAGAAAATTTGAAGAGGGTGAATGGGAATTGATTCATGCTATTATCTTATTTGTAATTTTAGTTTGTTTTTGGCATAATTGATTCCGAACATTTTGAAGAGACTATTAAAAAATTAAAAAATTAACTATGCTTTCAACAGAGAAAATAGGCTATAATTTGAAACTGATGTAAAGAAAAGTAAACAAATTTTTATGGGATGAAGTGAGTATCAGGTTGAAGATCAATTTGCTCAATTTTAAAAAGTTGAGACTAACATGATGCTATGGCAATATGTTGGGGGAGAAAATATGCAATTTTCTCAAGTTGGTGAATGTGCTGATTGTTTTGAATTTTTCATTTTCGGTAAACGGCGAGACAATACTCAATACATGCTTTAGTTGTCGAGGTATTAATGGAGACAAATTCACACTTTTCTACGAGGGAATTGATTAAAAAAAATCAATTGTCATAGAAATAATGTAATTAAGTCACGTTTGGCCCTCATTAATTTTCATTCAATTAAATTTTATTTTTCTCTCTCCTATTTTTAATCACATAATTTTTCATAAAATAATATTACACTTAAATCGAAAACTTTTTATTCTTTTTCAATCACTTATTTTTCAAAAAAAATTATTCCACCAATTTTCATTTTCACAAAATGAGGGCCAAACGGGAGGTAAATGAAAACAAACTCGAGGTATCAATAATTTTTATGAAATTAAGGTTTATAAAAGGATTTTCAAGTCTGATCCATTAAACAAAGTGAAATGAGTGAAACTTGTTCAAGATTGATCTCCTATTCATGTTGGGCATAAGATATCTTATTCGTCAATAAAGTGACAAAACCATGTAAATAATATCGTTAGACAAGCATTGAAATATCGTTAGTATGTTGTATTGCAACAATTAAATATGGGGCAGTTATACCGTCGCTACAATTTTTATTTAATACATTATGCCTTTGTTTGAATCTCAATTCTTTTCATAAAAATGTATTTTTGAATAGTGTATTGATGAAAAAATTTGTATTTAAAAAATAAGAAAATGTTTTGAATTTACGTGTAATGTTATTTTATTAAAAATCGTGTAATTGAAATGATGTTAAAACAGTGTTGAAAATGCATTTTTTCCAAAGAATGTAACTCAAACAAGGCCTATATTTTAATTATAACTAAACTCCTCAATCTTTGTTCATTATTTTTAATATTCAATTAATTAGTGTGTATCGTCTTTTATGATGATTAATTTATATCAAAATATTTTGTTTTCATATTTGAAAAAGAGGAAAAATATTTTTTTTCTCTCAATATTTATTTATTTTTTTTTAAAATAAGATGGAAAAATAAGTTGTTTTATGTCATCTCAATGGATTTTTAGACATAAGATTGTTATTAAATACAAAATATGTTAACTAATGGAAAGTTTGACGATAAGAATGATTTGAAAAATCGTTAGAGACATAAGTGCTGTATCGAGAAAAATTAAGAATCTTAAGTACAAGTAAAATGTGGTGCAAAAAAAAAAAATTGTAGTGGTAATATAATTACCCTTAAATATTAGGCGTTGTTTGATCCTGTTATTTTAAAAAAAAATCTATCTTCTTTTCAGTCACATATTTTTCAATAAAATAATATTACATTCAAGCTCAAAAAATTTTCTTATTTTTTAACCACATTCTCCATCAATTTACTACTCCAAAATACATTTTTACAATAAAATAGGGTTCAAACAGGCTCGAAATGTGTAATAAACTTTAAATGAATAATTTAGTGTACAATACACGTCATTAAGAACTTGTAACCCTTGACTTGTTAGTTAACTGCCACTAATGTGTTAACTAGAACTAAATTTGCGGCATCTCGATGTTTATATGTGTGTGTGGAAAATAATAATCGATGTTTATATGTGTGTGTGGAAAATAATAAATAGTTGCGACTTTTTTTTAGGCATGTTTAATAGATCATTATTTTTCATGGAAAATGGAATTAAAATTTCAATTTCCACTTTTTTCAATGGAAACAAACTCTATTTCTATTTGTAAAAAAATATTTTTCTTTATTTGATAATTTCTATGTAAAACAAAGTCAAACGAACACCAAAAGATAGATAATTTTCTTGACTTTTTTTGTAATCAAAACAAATTCTATTCCCAAAATCACTAAATTCTATCACTTTAATTGACAATTTTCATATAAAACAAAGTCAAACGAACACAAAAAATACTTTTATTTTAACATTTTTCACATAAAAAATTATACCAATCAAACACAATAATTGATAATTCTCAATAAAATAATTTCTAAATAATTCAATTCCCTGAAATTCATTTTTTTCAACCCAAATTTTATATTTACAATCAAACGGACCTAAAAATTTAAACTTAAAGAAGAAAAAGAAAAAGAAAGCTAACAAGGTATTAGATTCCAAATAAAATACATGAATTCAAGTTTAGCTGCTTCTCATTTAGTTATCAGATAGTAAAAATGAATTCGATCTACACTTAATATGAGAGAACATGTTGTAGATAATTTTGAAAAATACATGCAAATTTTCCATAATGAGAAATTTAAAAAAAAATACTCTTTTTGTCCCAATTATATAGGCTGACTTTTATTTTTCTTTCATCCCAAATATATAGGCATATTTTTTAATTTAAAATATTTTGTTTTGTTCATTTACCAATATACCATTATTCGATTTTCTCCACTCAATATGTCAACTTTTTGAAATCATCCAAATACACACATTTCTCACTTCTTGAAAACATGGAACAAGTCTCATTTCTCATTCTTCAAATTAAAATTATTCAAATTCTTTACTAATTTCAATAATAATTTATTACTACATTCTGAAAATTAAATAGGGGTTAATTAGAAAAGATTTTGGTAAAAATTAATTTTTCTATGATATTAGAAAAGATTTCTTAATTAGTGTGACAAACGAAATAGGGTCATGTTACACGTACATAATCATCTATATAATTTTTTTTACCTACTACACACAACATAAGATGGGGACCACAGCTAGGATTATTTAATAAGGGGTGGGGCTTGCATGTTTGTGAATAGGGGGGACACGATTCAGTAACCCCCTCGATACAAACATCTTAACTCAACGAAATAAATCTATATAATTGAGATAGAGTGAGTAAATAAATAACATTTAACATAGGTAGCTGTCGAATAAATGTTAGAATATCCATCACGAGAGAATATTATAAAGTGGCATGTGTTACGAGGCACATTTCCATGTGAGTGTAAGCGGTTGGTGGTGTCTATATCCATGGATGCACCGACACCTATGCAACCATCGCATTATATATATTTACGTGTTATTATCAAGAGTTTCTAGAATGTGCATTCTTGTCTATAATTGTTCTTATCCGGATACTGATCCGCTTTAGTTCACTTTTAAGAGAACAAGAAACATCACCTTTTTTAAATAGAAGAAGACAACAAAAATAACAAGATAGTTCCATAGGTGGTATTTTCTTAACTGATTGTGCTATATGTATAACGTAACTTATAGATTTGTTTATAACAGATGACGTGATGGTGAAAATCGATCATACCAGATGTCAAATATTTTCGAGCAAAGTAACATTTTCATAACAAGATAGTTCCATAGGGGATATTTTATTGACTGATTGTACTATATGTATATCATAACTTATAGATTTGTTTATTAACAGATAAACGTGACGAATTTTGATTGAGACAAAATCTCACAAAATAAAAAAATAAAAAAAAAAAATCCCCCAATTTCCATATTTCTTTTTGTCATTAACCCACATTGATGTTTAAATAACGAATTTTTTTGATAATTTTAATTCAATTTATCACCATATCATTAATCTGTAAAAAAAAAAAAAAAGTAAATAATGATTTACTGCAGACATATTTATTTCGTAACTATAGTAAAATGACCTTTTCTTCGATTTTTATAAAAAGACGAAAAAAGGTCACCAAACAGGAGCAAAATCTACTTCTCAGTGACACTTTATGTTTCTTTTCCTGCAACTACCCTTCTTCCTTAATCATTGATTCGTCTGTTAAAAATGTTAAATCAAGCCTCAATCCTTTTTTTTTTTTTTTTTTTCAGTCAAACATTCTTCAATAAAATAGTATTATACATACATTTTAAAAAAAATTCTTATTTTTTAATCGCACATTTTTAAAAAAATCACTATTTCAAAATATATTTTTTCCAAAATCTCATTAAAGTAAACCCCAAACAAGATATCAGTAGTCAATTCTCTACCCGAAGGTATGCAGCAACTGGGGTCTGAATCCAACATCCCAAGGGCCAACTGGCCTTGGGCTTCGCTTGGATTTCGACCCCTTTAATGTCTCAGAAAAAAAGCGTGGGCAGGGCGGAGGGTGGGGGAGTCCAGCCAAGGTCGTGGAGCCAAGAGGACCCACCTGAAGACTTGGGACGTAAACAAGGAATGCGAAGCTTACAACAAGCTAACCTAATTTAAGCCGTGTTTGATACAAATTAAAATAAATTAAAATCAAGTTATTAGCAAATTTTGATAAAATGTGTAGTTAAAAAATTACGAGTCCCATAAAATAGTATTAAAATTAATTGTTGACTTTAATATATTAAAATTTTAATTTTAACTTCCACCAAACATTGCCTTCGTTACGATCTAATCAAGAATACCTAAACTAGCAAATTTCCAAGAAGATAGAGATATTTGTGTTACCTTGACTACAAATGGGTTGCTCAACTCCACGCAAGTTTACATTAGGCCAGGAGGCAAAAGTCTTTACACCAAAACTAGTACGACAAATATATTACTTGTACATAATACAGTGTCCGTAATGGTGTCCACCCCTTCACATGAAGGAGGGTGGACACCGTTATGGACACCCTAATATACGTGCAACATCAACCATTTATTATAGCAAGATTTGAAATGTGCACAAAGAAATATAATTCATATTTCCATTTTAAACGCACTACAAAACTATGGTCCTTTCATATAGAAACTAGTTTTCGTAATCTGCCTGATTATGTACAATCCTGAGAGGAGGGAAATACAATGAGTTTTCTTGCTGGCTATATCACTTTTTCAATAGCTTAGGTCCATTGTACAACACTCCGACTACGTTTAAGTCATCGGGTTTCTCCCTCTCCTTAAGCCATGCATGCTGAGCCTTCTTATCTTCATCCACGGACAGACCATCGACTGAATTTCGACATGAAAGTTAACAAAATGAGTAAGAAACATATTCCACATGCTTGCACAAACTTGAATATTTCTTGAATGTATACCTCCAAGGAATGCACCTACAATGGAATGCCAATTCTCCAAAATTCGACAACAATGTCTAAAAAGCATGGACCACAAAAATCAGACATCCATGATTTTTTTCCCTTTCAAAAGGGTGCTGAAATCTCTATTTTGTCACACCATAAAGAGAATCATTTAGGATCTTGGCAAGCAGTCATATACCCATCTTAGAAACCATTTATTGACTCAACAGCATTAGAGAAAAAGAAATTAAAATCTTGTCTCTAATATGGTGTGATGCAATGCTCTGACCGTGCACAAGAGGTACCAAATTAGCACTTCTATACCTGGAAAATCCGCAAATGGGAAGTCAAAGTAGTACTGGCAATGACGACCCTCGGGATCATTATATGGAGGGCCAAGCACGTCCAGTACAGCGCATGCGGTCCTTGCTGTGAAGACGTGCATGTTGCCACCGTCAGTTGGATAGAGAATGGAAGGTCTACAAGGAGCCGTAAACTCCGAGTTGACCTTAAGCTTTGCCAGGCGCAAACCGTTGGGATGACCTGCATTAGGAAATAAAAAATGATTCACACAATACTAACAATAATAAATGACCTCAGTCTAGCTAAGATAGAGTTATAAAAGATGGACAAGCCCTCCAGGACTTAGCTCAATGGTGCAAAGGACAGGAGTGAGGTTATTTCACGCCTTGTTGGTAGCTGCAGTGTGGAGGTTCGATTCCTAAAACATGGAATTAAATTCCTTGTAAATGCAACGTACAGACAGCTCATGTTCCCTGGCCTGCTAGAGTACATCCCGCGATTTACCTCCCTCACAAAAGCTCTAGGGGCGGGCCAGTGAGGGCCCTCAAGGTTGAGGTTCAACCTTTTTTTTTTTTTTTTTTTTTTTTTAATAAAACCCTCAAGGTTGAGGTTCAACCCCCCCTTTTTTTTTTTTTTCCTTTTTATAAAAGATGGACAAGCACGGCAGAACATGCTATATACCCCAAAGCCAAGAAGACCTTTTAGGATTTGCAATTTCCTTCTTTGTCTTGAATAAAAGCTACCTTTTACGAAGAAGGGGGAATCGAAATTTCTTTATATGCACATGCTAAAAAGAAGAAAAGTTTCGACGCGAGCCAATAAAATGCCAAGAAGGTTCAATTGCCATTTTCCATAAACATGACAAAAAAGAAGTTCTAACAAAATTAGGAAAGAGTTAACAAAATGTCCGAAAAGTTTTCGAAGAACATACTTTTTGGAGGATTAGCATCCACAATTGCACCATCAGGGTTCTTATCCACTTCATTTGCCCAATCATACGACTTGATATGCATGGTCCCGAAGAGAAGCTTGCTGAAAACCGTCATTCCCGGATGGTTATGAAGAGGAATGACACTCGAAGGTGGCAAGCAAAAAATCCCAATCTGCAATATTTACCAATCAGCAAAGTAGATGAGGCATGGGGCAGGTTTACAGTGTATGGGGACGCAAATACATACTGAGAATTTTTCACACTCATGAAGGTGCAGATAGGTTATCGCGGGAGCTCTTTTATCGTTGAAAAATAGCATATTTGGCTTCAGGCCGACATCTGCTTGAGTCATCTTATCTGCAAGAATTAAGTATATTTAGCTTTGTCGTAGGACTCAAAATTGAAATAAATAGCAGTTTGCAAATCTGTATGCATACAAGAATATATTCCGTTTCAAACCCATGTTAGCCATGAGGTCATATTTGTAGGAACATGTCACCCTGAAAAATGAGATATTTATTGCTTGTATGATAGGCGGAATCGTATTGAACGTACAAGGAAGAAGAGGAAAGCAAAACTATGAGTACGGTGTACCAAATATGTAATTGTAACGTAACCCAAAACAATAATATCTGAAATGAGACGACCCCACAATTGAGAATTAAATGTCCGAAACCAAATAGAAATGAATAAGAAATTTGATTATTAAAATAAGCTTTAACAAAGAACCGTGACATTGATACGCTTGAAGAATGTGGCATTCATACGGTTTTATATAGGTTATCTTCCGGTGAAATAAACAAATTATGTCGTGCATGAAGCATTTTCTAAACGTGAAAGCATTACCAGCATTTTATTATAAAACATGAAGCCATTTAATGCATACAAAAATTTAACAGAAATTGTATCAATGCCACAGAAATAACAGCTATAAAATTCCACGTTTCTCCAGCATTGAACCAGAGAAATATGCAGATATTTTTGTACAAAAAATAATAAAAAACAAGGATAGACAGTATTTGACATTAGAATAATCTTCCTACGAAGCAACAAATGCATCGCAAAGATACGATGATTGAGAAACACAACAAAATTGAGAATTACAATAGGGAAAAGATTAATTTATACCCAAACAAGCCGCAAGTTTCTCGATTTGTTCAGCTGCTGGAACAACGCCAGGTTCACAATTGGCAAAAACATCATGGCAGGTTTCATACATCTTCTGAACCGGCGATAATTTCTTCTGCCTCCGCTTGTTCCTCCTTGATTCATTGCTCACCTTCCCTTTCCCACCAGACCCACTTTGCTCAATCCCCATTTGCATCCAAAAAAATACACAAAAATACAAATTTTTGATATGGGTATTTCAAGAACTTCAAGAAAATGATATGAAAAACCAAGAAAAGAATAGCGGGCTGTCCCAACAAACAGCTTTATTATCCCTACACAGAACTACTATATGTACTTAAAATTTTCTGTAGAAAGTTAAATGACTGATTGAGATGTGAAAGTTTGCATATCTTCTGTGCAGTTTATGCATGATGGATCATAGATGAAGATGAGAATGATTTGGTGAGTTGTGGGTCGAGGGTAGGTGGTAGTCGGGGGTGGGGAACGGGGTATATATGGAGGAGCAGGAGCAAGGGGTTACTGGTTACATTTACAGTTGGTTTTGAGGGAGGAATGGAAAACCACGGGCCATTGTTGGATTTCCAGTGGGCTGTTCCAAGAGCGGATTTTTCTTTTTCTTTTTTTTATCAATTTTTTCTCTCCTTAAAGATTTGACTTTTCAGTATTTGCCCTTTAAATATTTCCAGGTTTAACACTTTTAAGGTTTCTTTTAAAGAAAATTTTCATTGGTCTCTAAGTTATGACTTTGTGGCAGTTTGATCCTAAGACTACTTTTTTTTAGTAGAGTTGTTTGCAGTCTTAGGATTTTGTATCATCGATGGTCCGTCGATGGCTTCTATTTATTTGATCAATAAAAATAAAAAAACAAGAACCGAAAATGGGAAAATAAAAGAAACCCCATTTAAACTTCAATCTAGTCGCGATGACAACTTTACCCACCCTTGCCTCGCACTGAAGGCTCCCAGTTTGTTGGGATTGAACCACCAGATCCACCCCTGTCTAATGCGAATCTGAGTTCAAAATTTCCATAAGCACACCCTAGTAACGAATTTCTCATATTTGTTATTCATCTTTTGTGGAGTAACTCCAACTTCAAACCACGGCTAGATGTCCTGCACTCACCAAGAATGGAATTGATTCTCCCTAAAATGATTGTCTTGGACTCTTTATCGACATCATCATCATCATTTTCTTTGCACACTATATGTCACCTTCACAACCATTGGCCACCTCTTGACTGATAATCTTGTGTTATCCTTCCACTCTGTTAACCATCAATAATTAACACATTTTTCATGATGTTGATGTATGTAATGTCAATGATCTCGAGGTGTTTTAAGACAATATCATGTTATTACTAGAGGTTGATGAAGAAAAACTTGAGCATTCACGATATTGAAGTGTTTCAATGTGCTAGAATTTGATATATATGATTTTCCACCTATCTGTTCTCCACTGTTCTTTATGAAAAACAATTTTTGAGTCGGGATTATAAAAATTATAGACTCAGATTCTGCACTACACAAGGGTACTCCTCGAGACTCAATCTAAACAAATGGGGAGTCATCGTCAACGACAAGAGAGAAAGGGAAGAATCACCTTTGATAACTAGGTGGAAGGCAGAAGCAAGTGAGCTTCTTTTTCTCGTTTCTTTTTTAGATTTTTGTTTATGCTATTATTTTTTCACTTTAACTAAAAGTAAGGTATAATTGACTTTTCATTAAGCCACTGTTTGGCTCTCATTAAATTCAATTACATTGCATTCCATTTTTCTCTCTTCTATTTTCAATCACAATTTCCTAGAAAATAATATTATATGTAAATCGAAAATTTTTTCCGATTTTTTCAACCACTCATTTTTAAAAAAAAAAAACACTATTCCACCCATTTTCATTTTCAAAAAATGGGGCCAAACAGGGGCTAAATATTAAAACAGGTTGTCAAAAAATAGAAACTTTTTTTTAAAAAACACACAAACTCGATAGGTTCTCAGGCCCCATCAAGGAAAACTGTTGGGTATATCTTGTCCTAAAATAGAGATCGATGTTGCGAAAATTGAAAAGTTTGTGATGATGTCCATAAAATATAAGTCAGATACCAAGTAGCTACAAGGATACTAAGTCGGGACAAATGTTGCAATTTTACCTTTTTTTTCACTGAAATGAATTTTTTCATTTTTTCATTATAATTTCTTGCTAATTATATTTCACGCTAATACTTTTGTGAAATTGAGTAAATATTAGACATCAACGTAATTAAATTAATAATGAATAAATTTTTTAAACATATATAAAAAACTATATACTAAGCACGTGAAATTTGAAAAGACAGATAGAAAATTGATTAAAAGAAACTAATATTTTAGAGACAAAAGTTCGCTAATTATTTAGATAATCTAATGGGTTTAATTTGATGTTTTTAAAATTATATATGAAATGGAGGGATTGCTATTTCATTTGTAGAGACTATAAGCTTGTTTGATAGTGATTTTGAGAATTGATTTTTTGACCGTTAAAAAGAAAAGCGGGTTATGTCTGTGTAAGAATAAATTTAAAATGACGACTGGAATAGTGAAATAACAGTAAAAAAATTGATTTTTTGAGGGGAAAATTCAATACCAAACATGCACTATTTCTCTTTACTCAAATTTTCAAGAATATAAAGAAAAAA